AAAAAAAAAAAAAAAAGAAAAAAAAAGGAAGAAATCTCCTGAATAAAAAAAAAAAAAAAACAAAAAAAAAGGCTAATTCTGCCGGCAGAAAAAAAAAAAAAAAACCTGGCGGTGGGAGGTGATGGCTATCGGCGGGCGGGGTGGTCCCAGCCCGGGGGCCCGGCGGCGCCGAGGGGTGCAGGACAGAGCAGGGAGCCCTGGCCGGTGTCACCCTGCCCGCTCGGTGTCCCTCATCCCGCTGACGGGGACGGAGCGCCCCGGCAGCAGAACGGGAGATGCTCCCGCACCTCGTCCCCGCTCATCCCGCTGCGGCATGCAGAGAGGGAACCCCAGCACCTGGAAAGAGCCCCAGCACCTGGAAAGAGCCCCAGCCCCAGCGCCCCCTCCTCCAGCACCCCCTGCCCCATGGGCACCCCAAAGGGTCACCTCTGCCCGGCCACGCTCCCCGCAGCGCCCCAGCAGTGGGGACAGCTCCCACCCCGGCCCTTCTCACCTGCTTCTTCCCAAATTTTTTTTTTTTTTTCGGAAGCAACTAACACTTTTCTTTGAAGAGCAACAGATGAGCGAGACCCTCCCAGCGCCTTTTATGATGTTAAATTTATTGCCTGGCTCCACAATTGCCATTTTAATGACGAACGCTCCCACGGCTTTAACGCGGCTGAGTGCTGGCATTGAAAACAGAAGCCGGGGGGGACACGCTGTCTCCGGTCTCCTGGAGGAGAACGGATTCCAGCCCTTTTCCTGATCCTTGCACAAAGTTTTGCCAAATAGATAATGTGTTTTATAATTTCCAGACGGTGCTGTGCTGGTAAGGGAGGCCCTCTGCTGGCACCGGGCTGATGGGGAGAGCCCCGGGAAGCAGCTGGGAGCCACCGGGGATGCGCGGGGCCTGGGAGACACCTCTGGCAAGGTGTCCTGCAGAACCGAGCCTGGAGATCCGTGTCGAGCAAGCCAGGCCCGGGAACCTCCGTCCTGGAGGTGCTGGAGAGCTCACAGAGGTGAGCACAGGGAACCGAGCCCACGGAAAGGAGCCTGGGAAATCGAGTTGGGGAAACCAAGTGAGCTTGAAAAGTGAGCCCAGAGCCAGGAGCAGAGAGCTGGACCTGGAGAAAGATGCGTGGCCAGACCGGCCCTGAGGGTCACGCCTGGGCTGAGCCATCCCCCTCCCTGCTGCATCCATAGGGAGCCCAAATCCCTGCAGCCCGTGCTGGTCCACAGTGAGGTGGCTGTGCACACCCAAAGGGAACATCCCAGGCCTTCCCTTGGCTGGGGACAGCCCTGGAACATCTGTCCCATGGGTGGCACCCTGTGGGAATGGCTGGGATGCTGGCAGGGAAGGAGGGTGAGTGGTGGCAGCTTTGCCATGGGGTGGGATGGAGCTGCCACAGCTCCCACTGTGTCCCAGATCGGGCTGGTGAACGTTCCCCTCCTCTGGGCACAGAGCCCAGGGGTGGCAGTCCCCACACTGGCAGCCCCCATGGTCCCACTGTCCTCTCCGGGAGGGCATCAGGGCCCTGCCAGGGGACAAGGATAAGTCTGGAGCTGGCGATGGACAGCAGCAGTGTGGGGCCAGCCGTGCAGACCCACACCGGGGATTTCAACTGAGGACATCGGCTTCTATCAGGAGACGCTTTATTTTTTTTAACAGTGCCTGAAACTCAGCCCGGGTTATCAGGGAGATATTAAATTGCTGTTGGAAGCGACACCAGTGGGGCGGAAAAGCCATGCTGTGCTCTTACCTCTTCCCACAAGGTCGAGGCAGGCAGCCCCGGGGGACGACGCATTCGCCGCGTCCTTCCTGTAGCGAGGATCACATGTCAGAGCGAGCGAAGCCTTGAGAAAATTAAACCCGTGAGCTCACCGCCTTCCTGAGCGCAGGCGCCAGCCCTCCCCGAGGTCCCTGAGCCCGGATTGCCAGCTGGGGTGACCTGGCAGCAGTGGCAGTGCCAGGAGGATGCCACCTCCCCGGGGGACAGCAGCGGTCCCCACCGGTGTGCCTGCAGCTGGGCTGTGCGGCGGAGGAGCTTCGAACCCTGCCGTGCATCACTGGCTGATGGGGAAGGACCTTCCCATGGGAAGAAGCTGTCAGCCTTGGCAGGGCACAGCTGCAAAAGTCTCCTGAAGGCCTTCAGCCGGATTTCCTCTGGGGATCCAAGCTCTTGCTTGGGCAAAGGGATGGACAGAGGGTTCAGCTGTGGTGGGACTGGCACATGTTGTGGCCAGGCATGGGGCTGGGTTTTTTCCAGGACAAGGTTCAGTCCTGTTCCTACATCCCTCTGTGGCACAGTGGATGGACAGAATCAAAGAGAAAGGCAACACAGCCCACAGGAGAGCCTGTATGTGCATGGGGGGTCACCTGGAGACCCCCAGAACCCCACACAGGGACCCCGAGCTGCCCACGCCTCGGTCAGCTGGGACCATCACTGGAGAGGGGACATCATGAGTAACACTGCCTGGGAGGGACACGAGGAGCCAGGACTACAAGTTTGGGACCTGGGGACAGTGAGGGATTGCCCATGATGGCAAGAGGAGCAAGGGGAGGATGAAGGAGAGATCTGAGGGAGGACCTAGAGACAATTGTCCATGGGGCTGTCAAAGCCCCAGGGCTGAGCCAGGCCTCTTCCCAGGGCACCCTCTGCTCTCCCAACTTTGCTCGTGTTCCCCGGCTCAGAGGGGGAGCAGAAATGCAGCTCAGCTCCCATTTCCCCCTCCAGGTACTTTCTTCTTCATCACCCTCTTCCTCCTTGAGCAAGCCCAGCTTTTCACCTTGGCTCTGCCCTTTCCCAAACCAGCCAGGAGGTACCAGGGCTGGATTTTCATGTTCCCACTGGGCATCTCCCACAAGGAACAGGCTTTCAGCGGATCCATGGAGCCCCTGGCACAGCCCTCGGGGGTCTCCAGTTTCCCCCGTGGCACAGGCAGGCAGGGCACACACACACACACACACAAACCCCCTCTCCCTGCCACCACAGGGGTCCAGGCTGAGCAGCCGCCTCCAAGCCCTCCCCAGGAGCACCAGGGACACCTCGAGCCCCGGCCCTTGGCACAGCCCAGCCCGGGCAGGGCTGCAGCCCCGAGCAGGCGGCCGAGGGACGGCAGCAGGCAGGCAGGAGCCGTGCGGGGATGCTCCAGCAGCTGCCGCCAGCACGGCTGGCGGATGCCCTTTGGCCAGGAGCAGCCAGGCTTTTTTTTTCCAGCCCTTCCCAGAAAAAAACAACAAGCCAAGCCCCATAACAAGCTGTAGCGAAGCAGCGAGGAGGCGGCAGATAAGAGGCTGGAGCCGCGCGGAGGCCTCACGGAGATGAAAGGCGATTGCGAACGAGCCTCCCCATCCCCTGCGGACAAAAGAGCTCCTAAAATATTAACGAGGCCCCGTGCCGCCGGGTCCCGCGGCCCCAGCGCCGCCAGGAGCCGGCGGTACCCGCGCTGCCGCCGAGGGTCCTGGGGGATGCAGGCGCGGCGGGGAGCGGCGCAGGATGTTCATTAATTACCGCCCGCGCTCCGAGCTGCCGAACGTGCCCCCCGCTTCCCTCGGCACCCCAGGGAGCCGCCGCCACCTTCCCACGTTTAAAGAGCACGGAGCAAGAGGCTGTGCTGGGCATGGCGGCTCCTCGCTGCCACCTCGGCACCCGTGGGTGCGGCCTCAGCCCCCCAGCACCGCTCCGGTGAATTTGGGGAGAAGCTGGGGCAGCTCAAGGGAGTATTTGCACACCAGCACTAGGGTGGGGAATGGGGAGCAGGGGAGGGTGCTCGCTCCTGCCTGGTTTGTGTCTGCGTGTGGCTCATCAGGCCCAGGCTGGGGACGCGGTCCCTGCGGTGGGTCCCTGACGGGGATGTGCCCGCTGTGCCCGGGACACGGGCACTGCTCCTGCCGCATCCCCGCCCCGGGGGCTCTGTGCCATCGGCTGTCCCAGTGCCTGAGTGGCTCCGTCCCGCTGGTTCCCGTCCTCGGAGCCCACCTGCGCGCAGCCCAGCCAGCCCGTGTGCTGCATCCCGGCCCCGGCTCCGTCTCTCGGCGAGGACGGGGGTACCGTGACACCGGCAGCCACACCGAGCACCTGGGGACTCCAGGGGACCTCGTGGAAGAAGCATCCATGCCCCGAGCTGCCCCGTTCCCTCATTGCACGGCCCAGGCGGGCAGAGCGGAGCGCTGGGTGCCGGGGGGCAGCAGGAGAAGGGGAATGTTCCTGCTGCTCCCGATGTGCCGCCGCCAGGAGGAGCGGGACAAGAGCAGCTCCATCGCTGCGTCCGGAAGCGGGTCCTCAGCTCGGGGCATTTGCATAGCACAGATGGCAGCCCAGGAATTTCAAAGCATCCCCCGTGCCGCGGCAACTGAAGGGCTCGCTGGCCCCGCGCAGAGAGAAGCTGAGCTGCCCCGGCCTCCAGGGCCCGGCAGGCACGGGCACAGCGGGCACGGCACGGCTCGGCACGGGCACAGCGGGCACGGCACGGCACGGCACGGCACGGGCACACCGGGCACAGCACGGCCTGGCCTGCGCCGCTGCCCGGGGCATGGGGCAGTGATGCAGGGGGGACGTGCGGGCTCCGGCCCCATGGAAGGAGGGGCTCCCGCAAGGGCTGGAGGGCATGACATGTGAGAGGCGACGGGAGCTAAATTTACACGGCGGCAGAGCGAGCTGCCTCCAAGGAGACGTGATCACGGGCTATAAATACCTGCAAGGAAACAACGGGGACAGGGACGGTGAATTATTCACAGGCGCAGGATGGCAGGGCACGGAGCGAGCCGCGCCGGGGAGGAGGGAGCTGGCACCGGGGCACCCCGAGATCGGCCCGGCTGTGGGGCATGGGGACAGCCAGGACCGGGACACCCCCTGTGCCCAGAGCTCCTCGGCTGGGAGGGTCCCAGGGGGTGAGCCCCAGCCTGGCACCGTGCGGCCCCGAGTGCCTCCTCCGGGCGGGTGGCTGGCACCAGGGATGGCTGCTGGAGGCAGGGGGTGGCCAGGTTGTGGGTGCCCCTGCCAGACAGGGGGTGGTGGGCAGGTCCAGCATCTCCCATCCCGGTCCTGAGTCCGCAAGAGGGGACAGCAATAAGGTGATGTCCCATGTCCCCTGCAGTGGAGGCACCCCCAGCCTGCCCTGTCCCGCTCCGTGGGGACATTCCCAGAGGGTGCTGAGCAGACACAGCAGCAGCACAAGCCCTTTGTGTGTGCAGGAGACACATGGGGGGGAAGATTTGGGGCTGGAGCATCACCGAGCACATCTGCTCTGTTTGGGGTACACGGGTTTCAAGGATAAAAAGTAGCGATTACACCTAGTTTTGCTGCTGCTAGCGAGAGCAGGTTCCGGTGGCGGTGCCGGCGGTGCGTGCCCCGCGGGCGGCGCGGGGGAACGGGGATCCCGGCCCGGCTCCCCGGCCTCTGCTGCCCTCGCCCGGCCGCGGCGAGCGGAGCGGAGGAGGGACCCCCGGCTGCGGGATTGCCTAATTCGGCCCTTCTCGGGGGTATTTCCTCTTTTCAGCTGTGTTTTTTCACCCACACCCAATGAAGGCATAGAGGAGACCCCGCTGTCCCTCAGCCCCTTCCGCTTGTGCTCACCTTCTCTCTGCTCCCGGCTTGGGATTCTCCTTGTGCCCAGCTCCACTCCCAGCTGAAAGCCCAAAGCTGTCCTTACAAATCACACCTGAATGATAAATGCTTCCCCGTGGAGGCCCAGCTGCTTCTCCCCTGGCCAGGAGAGGAGCTTTAAGGTCCCTTCCAACTAAACCAGTCTGGGACCACAATTCCCACACCCTTGTTCCCCCAGCAGCACAGCTACAGGGAACTTCTGCCCTGTGACCCCCACAGCAAGGGGGGGTCCCTTGCAGCCTCCCCACAGCCCTTGGTGAAGGTACAGCAGTGCCCAGGGTGCCACATCCCTGCTTGGAGCAGCATCCCTGCCCTGCCCTGCTCTGCCTGCTGCAGGCAGCTGCCTGTAAACAGATCCCCCAGCATCCCTCCTCCTCCTGGAAAAACCACAGGCAAGCCGGACACATTCCTGCCTGGCAGGGCTCTGAGGGGGCTGTGAGCTCCAGGGACAGCACGGGACTGGGGCTGGTGGGATCCAAGCCCCAGCTCTCCCAGCAGCTCAGCAAAGACCTCAGCAGCTCTCAGGCCCTGGCCTTCCCTGGGTCCATTCTTGCTGCTTCCTCCTGCCCAAAGGCAGGAGGGATGGATTCTCTCTGGAGTTTCTGGATCTGGTGGTTTCACTTCAGGGCAGGTTTGGCTTGGGCTGGAGGAAAGGATCAGCAGATTCCTTATTTACACTGAGAGGTTTGGGGACTCTCTGGGTCTCAGCACCAGCCCCAGTTCCTCTTCCACAAAAAAATCCCTGCAACCAAAGGGAATGGCACAGGCTGGAAGGCAGAACTAGGGAAAAAACAAATAAACAAACAAACAAACCTATAAACATTCATAGTTTACAGTGGCTACACGGCCAAGGGCTTAACCAAGGGGGTTCAGTGCTCAAATGCAGCTCAGGTAAGGGCTGGGACAGACATGGCCTGGCAGAGAGACAACTTTGCCAGGAGAAAAAGGGAAAAGACAACAGGAAAACAGAGGAACAGACTGAACAGTCGGAATTTTCATTCAGTTCATGGGGTGATGCGAGTCACAGGATGCATGAAAGGACTCAGAGGTTCAACCCCACTGCAAAGCCCCGTTAGTTTTGTACCAAAAGGGCCTCAGCAAGGCTTTCCTGAGGCTCATCCCTGTCATTCCCACACAGGACACCTCCCGCAGCACTGGCCCCAGCACTGCCGCTGGGAGGTGTTCCCATCTGCCCCTCCCTGGGGCTGGGCTGTGCCATCACTCCTTCCCAAAAAGCCTCTGGCCAAGGACTTGGGTGTTCCTGGTGGGTGCCTTACAGAGGCCAACACTGCGTTTTTGAGTGGAGTTACTTGACCAAGGCAGGATTTGACATAAGGCAAGACTTTAGCATTTAAATA